GGGTAATTGAGCAATATTTTCAAGATTTATGTTGATGTTTTAATAAAGCATATTATATTTTTTTAGCCATTGTAATGCCTGAATAATTCTCTTCTTCCGTACTGTTAAAACTTTTTTAAGATGAAGACGATCAGGTGGCCGAGCTCCAATAAAAATTACTTTAAGTGTATCACAAAGATCAGCAAGTGTAAGTGGCAAACTATTGACAATATTTGGTACATTTTGAAGGAAGGTAATACAATTTCCTTTCAATGCTGTTTGAGCAGTTGTAGTTGAATGAAAAGGTGATTGAAGTTTTATTATACAGCTATTGTGACGATAGAGTGATATTAATTTTTCTTCTGGAATCGTCAACCCTTGCAATACGGTAGGTATATCACCTAACCACATGTTATTCGCAACTGAAAACTTCGGTATTTGTTCTTTTGAAAGAGAAGTATGGCATTTTCGGCAAAGAATACACATATTCACTCTGTTTTTTTCAAATAAGCCATTTTTGTACAAGAAAATATCATTTTTGCAGTAGAAAGATGACAAACCAAAATTTGACTGATCTAAAAAAACAATTCTGTAAATTTTCTGAATCAATTTAATTGTACATACTTTCAGTATGTGATGTCGTATGTGTATTGTTGTCATCGCTGAGAGTGGCAGTATTTTCAGTTGAATTTTTAATTAAAGTTTTGAGTTCTTCAGAAGCTTTAAGCAAATCAATATTAGGAATTTTAGAGATGGGTATTTTTTTCGCATCTTTTGCTGGAGTGCGGATATTGCAAACTGCACAAGTCGCTTCAGCCAATTTTGACATAGACATCTGTTCTAAAAATTGCTGCAAACGAGTTTCTTTTAAATCACGACTAATTGGTCCAGGCCAATTAGAATGAGTAAATTTTTGTCCAGTACTAATGTTTTCATTGTTCTGCTTTTCAAGTTTCTTTTGAGTTCTATTTGCTTGACTTCGTTTCTTTTGTTGTTCAAGTCGAATCTGACGTTGCTCTTCCAATTCGTTTGTATGGGTGGATTGAGTTTGTTCTTTTTTCTTTTCAAGACAAATTTCCCTTTGTTTTTCTGATTCATTCATTCGACTGGATCGACTTCGTTCTCTCTCCTTCTCAAGTCGAATTTGGCGTTGTTCTTCTGTTTCATTCATTCGACTGGATCGACTTCGTTCTCTTTTCTTTTGAAGTTGAATCTGACGTCGTTCTTCTTTATCATTCTTTTCCTTTTGCATTGAACCTGAAATATTTGATTGAGCAAAATCATTTCCGATGTTGTCTTCACTTCGTAAGCGTCTACTAGGAGAAGATTGAAATCTTGGAGTCCTTATTTGAGTAACAGTATTATTCTTGAAAGTCTTCTTTTCAGGAGTCTAAATGAAAGTTTCAAAATTCTTGGTTTTCTATTTACAGATCGCTAACTTACCACAACAAGTGACGCTGATTGACTGGTGTTATTAAATTCATTACGAATAGGTAGCGACATAAGTGGAACAAAATGATTTGATCTCCACGTACCATTATGTGTTTCTCGAGCATCTTTTTCATTCAAGACATTTGACCATAAAATCGCAATATTACAATTGGAATTAACAGGTGCAATAGGTGTAAAGAGGTTATCCCAAATTGCCATATAATGATGAAAATCAATTTTTGGATAGACACTTCGTATGTTACATTGAAGTACATTACATAATGCGGCAATTTCATATAATTCAGAAAACATATAATTTTTGCAAATAGCTTTAACAGCGATATCGGTAGGTCCTACATACTGTGAATACGTATTTTGATAATAATTTTCATTAGTTATAAGTTCCATTATTGTTCGAACTAAAAGTATTTTAAAAATAAATTTAGTATAACATCGAAGAAATAAAATTTTATACCTCGCAATTCACTAGCTGTCACCAATGGATTGTTCATTAGAACAACAATAGACTGATATAAACAATTTCCATCGCCAAGAACATTAACAGGAACAAGATGATGTGTATCTTCAGTCGCTTTTTGAAGATATTCCTTAGCGACCGTATCTGCTGTATGCTTTGTTTCATCGAAAACTTGAATAGGATGAAATTGCAATGGCATCATAATTGATTCCATCTATAGAATATTTGTTATTTTTTTAACTTAAGCGTCATTCAAATAAACTTACTTGTTTAATTTGTTGTACAACAGAGTTGATTTCGTCATGGTACATGATACTTTCAGAACATCTTTCCAAACGCTGAAGTAAGCGTGCGAATTTTAAACCACGAGTCATTTGATAACATTGTGAGCAACAGTAGCTTGTACACAACATAGTGCAAAAAATGCATTGTTTGTTCATATTTCGGTTTTAAATTCTAATCTAAAACATACCATATTTCTCAAGAAAATCAACTGCTTAAAACATTCCAACTAAAAAACAATTTCTTAAGGTCCAACCCCCCTCCCCACCCTAAAACTGATCTCAGCCCAGGAACGTCCAAATGGCATGAAATTTTCAGGATATTGTGAGGGTATTGTGGAATAGTTATGGTAAAATTTTCAGCTCGATATCCTGATATTTGGCGGAAATACGAGCAAAACAAAGGTGAAAAATAGCGAATTTGGTTTCCCAAAATTCTCAGTTCAGGTCCATATGATCCATTTAAGTTTTTTTTGCCAGAAAGAGCATGTCAAGATGCAGAGAGTGACAGGGCTCTTTTTTTTGAACACTAACTTTTTTAGGGAAAAAATGGGATCGAAAGTTCATTGACTGAAAAAACCGCGAAAAAATGGGTGTCAAGTTATATAAATGTTTATATATATAACTACAAAAAAACTTAATTCAAAAAAAGGACTCTGTCTGTCTCTGTGCTTTGATACGCTCTTTCAAACAAAAAAAACTATAAATACATTGAATGAGTAATAGCAGAGAAATTTGGGAAACGCGTGCGAGAAGCTATGAACGGAGAAAAACCGAAAAAGGTTTTTTATTTTTTTTGAAAACAGCTTGTTTTTCCAATAGGGACCGCCGGAATTTTCAATTTTTTTCAGAAAAAAAGAAGTATTAAGGAAAAATGTTTATCGTTCATGAAAGATCTAACGACGGGCTATCATCTTCTGCATTTATCTCAATTTCGATCATTCTGACGAAAATTCACTTTTTATGAGTGGGAGTGGGGCCCTTAAGATGGAAATATGTATATTTTTCTTGAATAAAATTATAGTATATTATCAAATCAATGGATACAATAAGATACAGCATCGTCTCTCCTTTAGATTTTCATTTGAGTAATTAGTTTTGAGTAATTGTATTTTTCGTCACCAAAAAAAGATACTTTTGATCACCAAACATTTTTAGATACAAATATCACCAAAGATACATTTGATCACCAAATGTCTTTAGATACAAACGATCACCAAAATAAAATACTTTTGATCACCAAAAATCGTTAGATACAAAGGATCACCAAAAAAAGATATTTTTAATCACCAAATTTTATAGACAGGTGTGATTCTTCATCATCTCTTGTTTGTTCGTCATTCACTTACATTTCATTGTTAGTTGTACCATTACAATCATGCAACTTTCCTATTGGTATTAAAGAGTATTCGAGTAAACATTCTGTTGATTTAGCAATTATATTTAACACGTATTAAGTCAGCAACAAAACACGTATTTAACTATTAGGTAAACGAAAAATAAGAGGATGTCTCAAGAAAGTTACCACAGCTTTAAATTTGTAGACATATATTAATAAAAATAAGAATATTGTTTACTTTATTAGTATTTCAATGAATATTGTTTATTTTTCGAGAAATATACTTTTGATCACCAAAAAAAGTAGAAATTGATCACCATTTTTTTTTGTTGCGAAATGATCACCAAAAAAAGATACAAATGATCACCATTTTTTTCGTTGCGAAATGATCACCAAAAAAGAGACATTTGATCACCAACTTATTTAACTTGTAATGTTCGATAATATATTACTTTTATGAGATATAGATAACATTGTTTTGATAAATCGAATGTTTATCGTGAACTTTAATTGATTAGTATAACAGAGTTAACTCTGAAAGTGTTAAACTCATCATGTTGAAATGATCCAATTAATAAAAATAGTTTAAAAAGCATATTTTGTCATCAGAAATTAGTTCATAAAAATGACTAATATTGAATGGAGATTGCAACACATTGCTAAATCATATGAAGCGGCAAAAGAATTCGTTACAGAGAAGTACAAAGTTGTCAATATCGACCATCAGCTTT